ACATGCCCTTTATAAATATTCCCTGAGGACTCTCTGCTAAAATTGTCTGGTAGTTTAGACAGCTTTTTCCTGTTGTGATATTTAACCTTCTTACTTGCCTAACTTGGTGGCAAAGCTGTTATTTTCAGCTTATTGGACAAGCTTTTGGGTCTCTCTTCTTTTGCCCTTTTCTTTCTTTTTTTTTTTTTTTTCCTACAGAGCCATGTTGCAGCCTTCAGAATTAATTAAAATCCTTTCCAGTTCAGCCAAATTTCTTTATAGAGCTTTTATTTAGCTTCTAATAACTTTGTTTACAAAAACTGATCTGCCCTGACAATTCCCCGGGTTTATTTTTTTAAGACAAAGGACATTTTAAAGTGCATTCTGAGAAAAGTGTTGAAATGGTTCTCCATTTTTAATAAGTATCTGAATTTAAATTGTGCAACTGCAATTCTACTGCTTTTAAAAAGGGTGTTGTTTGGCACAGAAAGTGAATAATGTAATTCAAAATGAGAAATTATTGAATAAGACTGGACATTTTCTGTTAAATGAAGGACAGGCAAGCCATTTATCAATTTGAATTGCTTTAAAGGTACATGCTTCATGATGCTAACCTACTAAATTTGTTGTCTCCCTTCAAACTCCTCACGCTGGGACTTCACACCTGTCAGTAGTTGCTGGAATGCAGCACTTAGAACTTCTGATCTCATGGTAGACTGGACTCCCTGCACTGGAAGTTGTATGTACAGTTGGGATGGGAGAAGAGTCTTTTGGAGAAAGGAACATTTTCATTATTATTATTTCTTTTTAAATCCAGAATAGTCTGGGGAACATGCCTGAACTCGTGTTTGTGGACTTAGTGATTTTCTCTCTGTTTGACCAAACATCCACATGTAAAACAAATATGTGTCAGTTTACAGATCATAAGACAAGTAAAGTGTTAAAGATGCTGAGTGAATGTCAGTTATTTTTTAGAGGAGTGGATGTAAAGTTTTGTCTGAGTGCAGGGATTCAAAATTTTGATGATCTATGAAAGTCTTGGCCCAGAATTTTAAAACTATGCCACTTTAGAAATATACATAACAAACTTCCAGGGCATGCTTATCTTTAGCCTCAGTGTTTCACAGTGCAGGTGGCCAGGTCAGATTAAAGCACAGATACAGCTCTTGTACCAGCCCTCCTCTAGTTTCCCCAAACATGGCCTTTCCATTGAAGGGAGAATTTGCTGCAATGTGGGCAAGTTAAGTCAAGCACGAAGATTTGCCCAAGGATCACGCAAGTCCTGAGCATGGATCGACACTACTCACATTGATTCAAACAAGTAGGGAGAAAAGGCACATGGGTGCAACCGTGCTGAGTGCAACAGGAGTATGAAAAAATATCTCTGTTCAGAACAAAGCTTCCTATTTTGAGTGTGTTTGTGTGCGTGGTTTTTTGCAAACCCCAATTGTTCTTGTAAAACAAAGAAAAAACTCTGTAGAGAAAAAAGTCTGTAGAGTTGTCAGGACTTTAAAAAATATATTTCAAATCTATGGGAAAAAAAAGTAATTTCATTGTGTTCTATTTCTTGAGATAATGCAATGTAATAGCTGTAACAGTGCTGGTTTCATTTTGATATATGCTTTCTTAAAAATGTGCCCATCACCTTAAGTAGCAATATTTGCATTAAATGATCCATAGTTAAGATTGTAATGTTTAACATGATATCATGAGAAGTTGTACCAGAAGGTAAAATACAGTAAAATAATATTGATTCTTTTAACAAATCAATTTAGACAAAACTTGTAGAAACATAAAACTGCCAACTTTATGTTTATGCGATATACTTACTTTAGCAACCAAAATATAGATACATATGAGATGGAACAAAAAAAAAATAAAATGTTACTCCTTTTTTTTGTATTACTGCTCATATTATCAGTCAGTGCTATCTGACATGGAAGATAGATGGTGAATAAAGTCCAGACAACAGTCTCTGCAAACTGAGACTAGAAAACTCATATTAAAAAGAAAAAAAAAGAAAGACAAAAGAAAGAAAAAATGAAAAATTAATCTTCTTTGGGTAGCAAATATATTTTTTATGGAGAAGTTATTTTCACAAAAAAAGTTTTCACCAGCTGGACAAGAGGAAGAATATGAATGTCCGTAGTCTGGCCATATCTTTTGAATTCATTGGATTTTATAAGTACAGGGTTGAATTTCAAATTATATAAAATAAAAAAAAGAGCAATTTTCAAAATTTTATCTTCTTTTCTCTTTCATATCTGGACTCCAGTTCCCCTTCCATCTGCAATGGATTGATACCAAGTTTTTATTCTCATGGAAAGGAGTGTCTTGATTTTCTTGCTATTATTAGCTATTATTTCTAAGCAGAGAAGATTCAGGGCTTGCTTGGGAGGGGCATTTTCATCTTGAAACCCAAGTTATTTAAAAGGTGTAAAAATCTTCCCCCACCCCTCCATCCCAGTTCTCCACATTATGCTATGAAAGACTAACAAGAAAAGCCTGTCAAATCCCACAGTCTTTCATTGATGATTGACCCTCCAGCAGGAGCAATCTGTGATGGATGAGGTGTAGGGTGAATCACACAGAAACTGCATTAAATTTTCCTTGCCAGTTTTAGAAATTACTTATCAAAAGGCCAGGCAGGGACAGTAGATATAGAGCAAAGTATTTTGTATATATATATGTGTGTGTAGATGGTATATACAGATGCAATACATGGTAATTGAAGAGTTTCCAATTTGTATAGCAACTTTTCTGCATAAATTGTTCTGCATATGAGTTATGTTTGTTTGGGCTTTTTTTCTTGACAGCCAAACTACTAAATGAAGACTGTCTTGGAGTTACTGAAGCCTACTGAAAGTGGGATATCTGAAATGGCACAGCACAGCACAGCAGTGTCCATGAAATGCAGACAGGCTTCTCAAAATTGCAGTAGTAAATGGACTACTCTAATTACTATTGTCAAAGTTTGCTAGTCTTAGGCTGAGCAGTACCATTTTCTGTGAATAGTCACACTGAATTCACACAGGAACTTCTCCAGAATGATATGACAGGAAAACTGACAAGAAAGTTAACTGAGAATTTTGAGTACCATATAGTAAAGCAGAATGCAGTAAACTTGGACATATCTCTGTGGTGCACAAGATGTGTAAAGGTATACTGAGGGTATAATTAAAAACTACACCACATACAACTCAAAACAGGGTAAGAAAAACTGCCTTTTGAGGTCTTTACAGTGTGAGTGAATAAAGACAAAAATAATGGAAGTCTGCTTTAGCTGTGAGAGAGTCTGACAGATATCAAGGAGCCTGTATGAGGGACGAGTCCTGGGAGTCCTCTCAGCAAGAGAGGGAATTACTGTTAGATCTTAGATCTGTAATATTTTCCTTGTATTTTTGCCTTGAGAACAGGAGAGTCAGCCAGACTCCTGTGGAAGAATCTTAATGGATAAAGAAAACAAACTCATTTTCAAACCCCAGCCTAATTTGTGGAGGTGGAAGTCAAAACAAAGAGTTGTCCTATACTTCTGAGTTTTACACAAAGCAGGTTTGACCTGCCACTACTAGGGAGGAATAAATAAATCAACCCATGAGATTAGCCTCTGAGGCATTTTTGTGACCTGATCTTTTCCTTAAAAGCAGCAAATCCTCCACTCTGGAATGAGTTTCTTTTTGCAGCAGAACAGATGGAAATATCAGCTCTAGTTGTGCTATATAAAGAACATTTTTGTCTCCATTTCCAGTAATATGATAATACTTCAACATCTTTTGTATTAAAGCCTAATTGTTAAGGAAAAATATTTAAACATTTTTAGTAATTGACATTTTTGAATTTACCAAGACAACAGAAAACTTTCCTAAGCTATTTTGTTCCTACACTTGGTATGTACCCATGAAGTCAATAGAGTAATATTAAAGCTTTTCCAAGCACAAATATGCTTCAAAACATTTCCAGAAAGTGAAAGAATTGAAACAAAGGAACATAAATATGGGAAAAGTGGACTGATGAGAAATATAAAAGTTACCATTAGCTTTAGATTTCACTTCACTGTTAATAACATACCTCAAGATATTGAATTAACCCAGAAGTCAAGTTACTACAAATTCATGTTTACTAAAAATTTGTTGTACAGTGCTTCTGTACAACAAATCCCACCTTATTCAACAACTCTCCATATTTTTGGTCCAGTCAGAACTTCTGGGAAACTATCGAGAGGACAATGAGGTGAAGGAAGAGTCCTACTGGCTATTGAGATTCAGAAAAGTAAGAGCTTTTATTAGCTCATAGGGATTAAAAATATACTTACGTATAGCTCCTTATAATTGCCAGTGTAGTAGTATGGCAGAAGGAAGAAAATATTTATAGGTCCCAAGGGCTGTAACTTTTTTATTAGCTTCTTGGAAAGATATCTTTGGTGACTGGAACAGCTGCTTTGGCCATCTGAAGGGCTGTGTTGTGCTTAATGCCAAATAACACCTGAATGACATCGGCGAGGTAAAATCAATTTGCTTGTTTCCTGTTGTCACTGTCCTCCCTTCCTTCTTCAGAGTCAAATGCCACTGCTTTGCAGAGGAACTAGAGGAAAGCTTTTAGTTTTCATTGTCTCTGTGAGCCTGAACATTACTCCCTGCAACACGCTAATCTCCAGTATTGGAAAAGAACAGGAAACTGTGAGTTTAACAAAACCCATCAACCTGAAACTACTTTGCATCAAAAAAATCTGAATTTGGGACCTGTCCTTGATTTTACAGTGTCCATGAAGTTTTTTAGTTCAATTATCTTAGTCCTTTTGAATGCTCTACTCCCCCTCACTCTGTGAATCTGTGCAGATCCCAGAAACTGATGGTGGTTTGGTTGATCCCAAACCACTAACGTGTTAGGACGATTTTGCTAAATGTACAGGGAAATTGGTGAAAACAATAAGCACAGAGTACTGACAGATGAACTAAACAACCAACATGACATAGAAAACAAGCAGTTGTCCTTTGTGAATTTTTTTTATTATTTTTTAACAGGCTTGGCTGGCAGAAGCAGTGGCCATGAACCATTCAGATGAGGATTTGAGTTCTAAGAAGATAGAGCATCTCTAACTTTCATCACTGTACTGAGGATTTTTCCTTATGCATAGAAAAGGCAACGTCATTTATCCTTGACTGAGAATCACCGGTACATTTCAACAATGGAATTAGCTATTCACTGCATTACAATGACTTGCTTTCTGTAATTTGCCATTAATATGCTTCTACCTGAACAGTGCAAAATGTGAATTAAATTGCCACAGGGAAAAATAATGAACCTGTTCTTTGATTTAATCTAAAAGCGGACAGTTATAGTCTCTTTCCTCATAATAATGTTCTTCCCTCTCTTCTCAAAAATTTTACTTTAACTTGTCTAGGTTTTCTTTTCAATTCAGGATAAAGTGCAGCATGTAATGTGGCCTTCTTTTGACCACTTTTAAATTTATAAAATATAAATATTTAAATGAATCATATAATGTTATATTATATATAAAATTATATAATTATGTAAATTATTTTGATATATCAAATAATAGAATTGTTAAGGTTGAAAAAGAACTCCAAGATCATCAAGTCCAACAATTAACCTAACACTGTCAGGTACACCACTAAACCATGTCCATAAGCATCACAACTACATGATTTTTGAACATTTCAAGGGATGGTGATTCCACCACCTCCTCATAGCTACACATTAAATTAATTATTATGATAAAATATAATTTCATAATTAGAATTTAAAAGTGGTAACAATAATTAGTACTGGTTTATAAGCAAGTCTTTTGCCCCTTCCCCCATTCCCACAATGAAAGGGTTCAGTTGAATCTCACAGAAAAAAACCAATGGGGAGATCATGCTGAAGAGTGATTTTTAACATATTGCCTAGTCCAAAGCATATCTCTGCCATACCTCTGTCTAATACTGTACCTCTATAGATTGTAGTGCTTCCACGAATACCCACACTTTTGCTACAGTCTGACAAAGCAGAGATAAACTTTGCTCCTTCTCCTAGCTGATCTCTGTCCTCGTGGAAGACAACTGCTTAAATCATCTAAAAGGGAAAACATTCTTATATCTGGCTCCACCAGCTGCCTGCCTCTTCTCTGAAACAGGAAAGAGAATATTTCATGGCAAACTGTAAAATGCAAATGCCCAAAATACATAAATATGTTCTTTGAATAAGGCAACATATACTGATGATGTTTTATGCAGAATATTTTTTCTCTCTCTCTCAAACTGTTATTTGTTAGATATTTGTAAAGATCTGAGGCATTAGACTCCTTTTTATGTGATATTTTTATGTGCATTGCTAAGTGGTCTGTCTGGAAAACAAGATTATGTGATCTGTGTTGCATTTTTTGTACCATCCTTTAAGTCATAAATTCAGCTTGTTTGTGATAACAGCAAAGGTGTTGGTAACACATTCCAAGATATAAAATAGCCACCTGGCATCAAACTATTCCCATCTCACATCTAATAGGGCTCCTGTTTTCATTGACAAGCCTTGATACAGAAAGGAGTGGAGCAGGAACAGAGTCACAGTCCATAGCGGATCTCTGGACATATGTGTTGTTTTTCCTGCTATTGGTGGAGGGATGGTGAAAGTGGTGTTGGAGTTTCCCATTGCCAAAATAAGTCATCTCCCTAATGCAAATGCCTGCAGCCCCTCCTGCAGGAATCAGTGCAGGGCTTGGCTCTTCAGGGCCGTAGTGGAAAGGCAGCAGGACTGATGTCCCTTTGCCCTTGCCAGCTCCTTACTTTGTCCCTGACTACAGCTGGTTCTTGGGGTATGTATTTAACTTAAAGAAGAATTTTGAGAAGTCTCTCTTATATGTGTCTTTCATAGGACATACAGGATGCATTGTTTTTATAGTTAAATATGCTAATGCTGAAAAAAACCAACTGGGTGACAAGTGTATCCTAACTCATTCTGGCTTTCTCATGATCTTAATGAACATTATTTCTCTATAAATCATTTCTTCTTGCTCCAACTTCTGCTTAACAGGACATTTTATCCATTTCTCTTAGTTTTCTGTCGTGCAGTGAGGCAAATGTTTTCCTGGTGATGGACAACATCATATATTAATAAAACCACTTATATGGTATTTATTATTATTTCTTGCTTTTTATCTGCTCCTCTTGGAATGCAGCGCACAGACTGGGCATGGTAAATAAGTCTCTTTTATCAGTGAACATTCCTCCATATTAAACCTCTCACTCATTCTGGAATCTACAGGCAACTTAAAATATGCCTCATGTCTGTGCCATCGCAGCCTGGAGACACATTGCAAGGCGAGGAAGAGATTGACTTTCTGATAGCTATCTGTGATAATAGCATGGAAGGAGTGTCAGTCATACTCCCTACATCTGCTCCAGCTAGGGAAGAAGCACAGCCTCATCATTTTTATGGCTAGCATGAGTATATTGGGCAGAACCCCAGCTGATAAGCAAAAATGATGATGTCGCTCTCTTTATCTCAATATATATTCATAATATATTATTCTAAATATCCTGTTGTCTAAAACCATTGCAGCATATACAAGCAATTTTTTTCTTCTTAAGTATCTCAGAATCATCACTTGCCCCTCACATAACTACTGAAAAGTTACCCTGAGACACATATTCATCCTTCCTTTGCCCCATGGAGTACTAAAGGTCCACAGTTTCATAGGTCCTGCCCCTTTGGAGTGAACTGCCAGGTCTTTGAGCCTCAGCAGCGGAAAACATGTCAAGAGCATTTTGGCTCTCCTCTTGCTTCTGCAATATTTGCTCAGACAAGCATGTAGAGGCCTTACTTTCCATTCCAGCTGAATCAAACAACAACGCTATACAGTACTCCATCTCTCCTGTGACCCTATTTATACTTTGTCATGTTTTCTTATCTAGAACTATATGCCATTTAAAACATTTGTCAGACTTTCTTCCTAGACACCTGTGTTAGTAGCCAGGGAACCGAGGGCAGGAGAGAAAGGAAGCAGACTGCCCAGCTTTGTTTTGTTCTTTGGTCTCTACGTTTGTTTACATTTATTGTGTCCCTTAGTACCAAAGCAAATTCCTGGCCATGAACATTCATTTCTTCAGAGGTCATTGACACACACATAAGGGAATAACCTACTCTCTTTCAGTCACTTGCTCTTTTAAACCTTCCTGTAGGAGCAGACTACACAATTATTTTTCCCCGCATCTGTTAATCTAAGAAAAAAATCTGCCTCCAAATGCTTAAGCACAGTAAATCAACAGGGTTCCACTGATTTAAATAGAGGGTTGATCACATCTGGCATCTGAAGGCTGATTATCTTGGTGGTGGTCCACCACACAAAACCTTAGCTATTACCTTACACAAGATTTTTCCAACTTCATTTTCATTGCTAATGGAATACAGCAAGCTTTACCTTCTAGGAGGCCCTCCCACGAATCTGGATTTGGAATCTCTTTCTCTGGATTCCGGTGCTCAGATTGATTAGAAACCATTTGATGTGTCCCTAAACGATTCTGAGCTACAACATAATAGCAATTTCATATTCAAAATACTGATTTTCATGACATATCTTTTATCAAGGATGTCACTTGGAGATCTCCAAACATTTTGAAATGTATTCAGGTTTAAATTTGCCTTTGTCATTAACTGCAGGCTGCATAAATTTGCTAGGATCTTAAACATATTTTTAATGAAATCTGTTGGTACTTGGCCAGCCCAAACTGGTATGGTCTTTGAACAGATTAGTTTTCCTGATGGTATTAAATGATATGGTGAGTAGGGGTCTTCCTTAATTAAATAGTAAGAGATAGTTTTTAAAATAATATTGTCTTCTAAATCATATGGAAAGATATACAATGGAGATTAAAACAATGATACTGTAATCAGTTATTGGATATGTTCACTATTACCTCTGAACAAACTATATTAGTATTACCAAGCAGTAAATTTTTATTCTAATGTTTGAAATGGCTTAGCTGAAGTACTAGGAGAAATAATTTTTCAGTCTTACCCTACACCTTCTGAATAGGAGCTTTGATGACCCAAAGACCTGTTAGAATGCTTAATTTTCTTTTATCTTATTAAGAGAACATGAACAAGCAAAAGAAAAAGAGAAGCAAAGAAAGTGCAGAAACAATAAGGGATTTATATATATATGTATATAAAGAGTGGTTTCTATAAGGTTTACCATCTCTTTTGGTTCCTCATTCCTACCTCAGTATTATTAAAGTTTTCAGTATTAAAAATTAGAAAAAAATCTGGAAAGAATATGTATTATTAAGATTGTGAACTAGCAAAACCCAGTTACTTCACAGTGACACTTTCATGTGTTTATATGATGCACATCAGTGGCTTCTTGGCAGTGGAGGTAGATGCAGCATGGAAGGCCTTGGAGTTCAAAAGTTGCCATTTGTTTTCCCTTCTTCTTCATCATTTATTCTTCTTTTTTCATTCTTTCCTTCTCATTCACAAATTTTTCATGGGCTCTTCTGTTTCTGTGGTTATACTGGTGGCTTCAAGAGGCAATTATGAATTATGAAAACTAAGCAGGTGCTTTGTGGGGGGAGGCAAGGCACTTGAAGAGATAAAAAGCTGGATAAAAGGAAGGATGCAAGAAGGACTGAAGATACAATGTCACAGACACTGGGCAGAGATATAACACTGTTCACAGTTATTTGGAAAAATAAGTATGTAAAAGCAAGAGACCACTGAGAAATTCCTGGGGAACCTCATGAAGGTCCTTCTTTTCAGTCAGTGATGGTACAAGAACTTTTTGTTGAGAGGTATTATTTAGTGCATGGATGGAGGAACTAATTTAATTAATTCACTAGATTTTTTTTTTTTAGTTAAAAAAACAGTCCAAGAAAAGACAGAATTAGACATAATTGATCTCTGTCACATAAGAATAAATGGTAATCTACCGTAAAATTTGTCAGTTCTAACTAAATATAAGATCTGAAATTTCTTTGTAGCATTTTCCAAGGTTTTTCAGGGCATAACCCTAGACTGAAATATCATAAAATAGTTCATGTGTCCAAATATAAAGTGAAAATTCAGCTGTGTTTTTTTAAGATTGACAGAAATAGAAATGGAAATTGAAGTAAATCATGACTCATAAATGATGAGGTTAAAAGAGGCAGACATGATTGCACATGTCTACCTTTTTTGCACAGTTGGTATTGAGTTCGAGAAAAGGCAATTAAGCACACATCATTTAATCAAACCTTCCTTTCCTACTTCGAGGAGTTACACAGCACAATCACCTCAGACACACAGACTAAGATAAATAATGCAAGCAGGTACTCTAATACATTTTAAACAGCTGTCTGGGGAAAATATGTTTATTTCATCACTCACTTTCAAACAAAGATCCAAGTTGCAAATCTCTTTTTTCCTTGCTTTGTGATCGTG